CCGTTGGGGCCTTTAATTAATAGACCAACCCCATCTCTGGGTTTGTTTGTGTGAAGAGCTTCGTGTTGGGCTCGGGGAGGGGTGAGCCAAATCCAAGGCATCGTTATGATTGTCGTGATCATTATAACAAGACTTTCTCACTGATGATGGTGTAGGGCGTTGTCGTGGTAACTGTGGCTTATTAGGAACAAGCTCTTGTAAGGTTACTGGGATGTTGGCATCCCAGTGCCAACGTCTGGGCCGTGACCAATGCCCAGTGGCCTTTGAGACACAAAGAAGCGGGACTCCCAAGGCCTGCGATGTTTTCATTCCAATTCTTCCTGTGGCTTGCTCTTCATCCCCACAAACAGCTCATAAAAAAATGATCACCATTCTGGGGTGCTGGGAATGTTCTCTGTTGTCGTCGGAATGGTCATACAGGTGTGCCCCAAAGTAAGCATCCATGGAGCTGCCCACTTCAGACTGAATACACTTGACAGCATGTGTGTTACAGGTCAATAAAGAAATTATGTTTTCAACTTCATCCTTTTCTCCCTGCCAGGAGAATCTTGTCCTTTCAACACGGTACATCCGCTCAGGGCCGTCTGGAGCCCCACCTGATGGGGAGAAACACCCTCTAGAAGCAGTGGCAGCTGTGTCAGACCTTCAGCAGAGAATCCTCACCTCTGTCCAGGGAAGTTAGTATTTTCTTCCCATTTGGCAGACTGGAAACGGAGGCTCCGTGAAGGCAGTGGCCTGCTTCAGAGCTAGCCGAGCGAGGGGAGACGTGAGTCCAGCTCTCTGTGACCTGGCTGTAGGGTAGGTGAAGACGCTCGGGCTTCTGCACCACTGCCCTCTATGGCTACTACCTGCAGCCTAAATGCAGGAGGCGCTCGGGAGTGTGGGCTCAGGGTGCGCATGCCCGATGGGGACACCTACTACTGTGTGGGCGTGTGTAATGAGCACACCTGGGCCTGGAGGCTGAGCTTATAGGGGTGTGTCACAGAGGACCAGAGCAGCAGGGGCAGTGTGGTGGAAAGTGGTGGATAATGGCCGCGGGAGGAAGAGACTATGAGGGAAGTCAGAGCCCAGAGAGAGCGAGACTCGTGGGGGACGGGGAGACCTGCCAGCCTCCTGTCCCCCTGGACCCCCTGCCTGCCCTGTACCCATTGTCTCACTACAGATGGTGTAGAAAGGTCATTAAAAGCCTGAAAAGTCCACGAGGGCTCCAGGCCTCCCCTCTACCCGTCTGCCTGGACCCGTCAGCTGGCCCAACTCTTGCTGTCAACTTGGTCATGCCTTCTCCAAAGTGAAATGGGTGCAGGAAGGAAGACCAGGGCAACAGGGGAAATTTAAAAAATATTAAAAAAAAATCAGTGTCTCATAAAAGAGTGACGTATCTCATCCCAAACATGCAAGTTTTTAACAATAAGTTATATAAGTCCTGTTCATACTGTACACAAAATCACTGAAACTACTTTGGGACATAGTGCACAAATTCAGATTTCTGCAGTCTCTTAAACATCAGATCTGGCACTCTGAGCTCACATTCCCCACGGCGTACACACTCCAGGCTGCCCCAGTCCCCACCCCGGCACCATCACTCACTGGGGCACAACCATCCACGGCTGGGTGGGTCGGTATTCATTCTCCTACTGGGAAGCATGTTCCAATTTTCCTCCCAAGAGCACCCCCTTTCCTACTGCTGGCCCAGTTCCTTTGAGTGGGTTAAATCTATGCCAAGCACCAGGGGTGTCCACACGGTTTATTCCTGGCCACCAGAGCAAACTTAATTGGTTCACAGTGACTGGCTTTAGCTTGGGATTGGACTGATGACTCGGTCAGAGTCGATCAGGTGCCATGAATCCCTGAGCTTTGATTAGGGTTTGCTGTGAAGATCCATGTGCTGGACTTGCGCCTGCCTGGTAGAGCCCGGAGTTGTGAGCAGTCACCTTGGGAGCAAGATGAGTCTGAGAACAAATCTCACGCAGAGGAGAAAGGAGCCTGGCTGAGGAGAGGGTCTCATGACCCCCTAGAACACACTCTCTCTGGAGCCTTCATTTTTACAAGCCCACAAATTACCTGGATTTTTTGGTCTGTTTCTTTAACCTTTTGAGATAACTAGGCAGCTTTTGTTTGCAAATAACATAAAATTCTTCCTGAGAGAAGGTTAGTAGGCAGCAGAATCAGGACCTAGTGGGCAAGGCGACAGCAGCCTCCATCCCAACCTAACATAAAGATAGAACCATGTTAAGGAGTAGTGATATTTTATGAAATCCAAGTCAATGAAGGAGTTCAAGCAGGTTAAAATTCATTATCCACTTGTCAACTGGGCACAGGATAGGTAGTTGGAAGAGATCATCCTAACCTAAAGTTGCTTCCAATTTGATGATCCCATGAATATCAAGAATTGAATATTCTTTACGGAGGACTTCCTGAAGACCCAAGGGATAGTCCCTTCCTATCCTTATTGTCCTTTATTAGTATATACCCTTCACAAAAATTACAAATGTAAATTTTATTTAAATTTGGAATTGAATTTTATTTAGTTTTTACATATATTTTTGTTTACATGTTTATTTCTGTGTCCCCCACCAGACTTAAGTTCCAAAACAGGTGAGGCCTTGCCATTCTATTTCCCTGTTCCTCCACCCAGCAAAAGGCCTACCACACAGTAGGCCTTCAAGAAATACTTTGTTGAGTAATGAGAGGATGAATGCGAACCCCCTCCCCCTGACCATTTCATAGGAAATCACTCAGAAAGTCAGCATCCACAGGAACCATGAGGTCTTTCAAATGAGTCCTATTTAAAGGCAGGTCATCTGTACCACTTAATGAAGGATTTCACTTTAATAAAGGCCATTACTCATGCTCTTCACCCCCAGCACACTCACCCAGTCTTCTTGTCTAGAGTAATTGCTCTCTCCTGCCCTGGAGACTCACACAGGAGACAGCCCCGGGAGTTCCCTGGGGCTCACACCCCCTCTGCAGCACCTGCCTGCTCTGGTGCTCAAGCTTTGCCACTGCCCTTTATGCAGGAGAAAGGAACCTCCTTTACCGAGCACCTGCTACACACTTGGAGCTTTGCCCTCGCCCAGTCTCAGCCACCCTGCAAGGTTGGCACTCAATATACACTTTATACAACAGGAAAGTCCAATGACTTAGCCATGGTCACACAGGTCTCCAATATTGGGTTACAGCACTCGAATGGTGTGCTTTTTTCCATCTTTCGTTACATTTAAGTTTCTAGTCTGAATGCATATGCATGTGAATGTGTAATTTTCATTTCTTAGCATTCTCCTATGCAAATGGTCTTTTAATTTTTGGGGGGACCGAAGTGCACACACACATACCCCAAGTCATCAGCATCTTTCTTTAATTTATTACACTGGAGGAGGAGGAAATAACACAGGCCTATTAAGGACTAAGCAAATTACAGTCACATAAATGAGGTTTTTAAAAAGCACACGAAATAACCCTAAGACAATCTATACATCTCAGAACATTATGAGACCCTTGGGGGTTGCCCATGAAGAAGTGTGCTCAGTAGTGTCTGACAAAGTTAACCAAAGTCAAGTCCATTTCCTGACCTGTAATGCAGCCACCTAGATCACAAAGCAAACCAAAGTTACTAGAGGAGACACACACCCACACACACACACAGAGAGAGAGAGAGAGAGAGAGAGAGAGAGAGAGAGAGAGAGAGAGAGAGAGAGAGAGAGAAAGAGAGAGAGAGAGAGAAAGAGAGAGAGAGAGAGAGAGAGAGAGAGAGAGAGAGAAAATGAGAGAGAGAGAGAAAATGAGAGAGAGAGAGAGAGAGAAATTGTGATTGAAACCAAAGCATTGGAAGTCTCTGCCCCTGATTCTGGGTTATTTGAATCAAGGGAACTCATTTGGCCTCAAGTACTTAATCATCTCATTCCTCTGCTTGGTTTTATTTTGAGACATTAAGAGGAAAGAATCATTGGGGGGTTGAAGAGAACCATTTTCTCTTTCTAGCTGTTGCTTCTGAATTCTCTTATCCAATGCCCACTGCATATGTTTGACCAGATGGCTTGGACTCTTGGCTGCCGATCCAGCTGCTCAAGAACATGACTGTGCTTAACCTCATCAACTTGACTCAGCTTCAGTTCATCCTGGGGTAGAAGTGTGATACCGATCAGTTTAATTAGCCTAATGAGAGCTGAGGGAACTGGTCCACATTTTGAGTTTGTTACACAGAGCAAATTGGTTTCCCTGGCTCACTCCTTGATCATTTCAGCATTCAGAAGGTTCTCACTAACCATTAGGAAAAAGATTTTCACTGTCTTCTCCTTTGAGGAGTTGGGCGCTGTCCAGGGTACCAGCAAGGACACATGTCCAGGGACTTGGTGAATTCCTGCACACTGAGAACTCAGAGTACACTGAAGGACCATATAACCCATAAAAGATCTCTCTCATGTAGGAATTCCTACTCCAATCATGTGTGGCATTTGAATTTTTAACCTAAACCCTGGTCTCCAGTGGTATGCACAAGGAGATCCTTTCACAATGGGGAATTGAATTTTAGAATTTCTATTTGTTATATATTTTGTTTTCAATTTTTGCTTTTTGTGTGTTTCATGACACATGTATCATGAATATCTCTATAGGAGAGAGGCATGTTATCAGCAAAGTTTGGAGATCATAGATCTATATGGGGTGAAGAAAAAGTCATGTTCAGAAGTCAATCAAGATTCCTGGAATTGGGTAGTCACAAGAATGAAGTGAAGGACTGATATCAACAGCTACTGCGGGCAGTAGCTGTATACAGGTCTAAGGTCTGAGTCGAGCACTAATCCTATTAAGAGAAGTTCCATTCTTCCCTCTCACGGACCCTCGACAGACACTGCACCCCTAGCAGAAGGCAGACAGGCTGGTCTGGATGTGTAGACAGTGTTGAAAGAATGTGGGGAGAGGGCGCATAGGGGAGAGTGAGGAGTGCTCCCCAACCTGGAAGGGTGTCAGGGGGAGCTCCTGGCTCAATCGTGATGCAGAGATGTTTACACATCAAGCAGATCTGTAGCATAGGCATTGGGGTCTTCCTGAGACCGGGTCACCACCTTGAACTGGCGCCGCAGAAAACCACCATAACGCTTTTGGTTGTCCCATTTGAGCTTGGGACGGATGCGCCGCAGGAAGCCCCCGTAGCGTTTGTACAGGTCCTCATGTACAAACTGTCCCTCCCTGTCGCCCTCCCCAGTCACCTCTGAGCTCCTCTTGGGGTACTTGCGCAAGAAGCCCCCATAGCGTTTGACCTGCCCTTTGGGGTCCTCCTCATTAGAATCCAGTGCTCCAGCTTCTAAGGTGCCATCATTTGGCTGGGAGCCCCCCACCAGTTCAGACTCTGGTCCCTCCCCCAACCTGCTAGAGAGACCCCTGAGCTTCTCCACCAGGCTCCTGCCCAGAGCATTCTCCTCTGTCGGGGAGCTGAAGAGGAGTCTGCTTTTCTCCATCTCCTTCAGAAAAGGGCCAGCCTGCTTGGCCAGCTCACTAGAGGGCTCATCCAAAGCTGCCTTGCTCTCCACGTCTTCCTTGCCACTGTGCCCGAGGGTGAAGGGGGTGAGCAAAGACAGAAGGCTCTGACATGTCTCCCACTCTTCTGTGGGCAGCAGGGCAGCCTGGCACTCCAGGGAGCAGATCTGCAAAAGGTGCAAAAAGACCACAGGGTAATGTCACCCCCATTAAACTGTCAGGCCACATCACTCTCCTGCTCCTGCCCGATGTCTGCAAGAATCAAAAGCAGCTTCCATTACCCAACAGCAGGGTGTACTTTCATGGCCCCAGGGGTGCATAAATGTAGGTGGCTTTGTGGAAGATGAAGAACAGCCTTGGAGAGGTGAAACAGCTTTCCCAAGGGTGCAGGGTCACTGGCAGTGCTGCCAACATGGAAAGGGAGCACCCCACAGTGCCCCACCCGGCTCAGCCCTTCTCTTCCACCTCTGAACCCAGAGTGGAGCCACTACCATTTTGCAAACAAGGAAGCAGGCAGCGAGGGGGGCTTCCAAAATCACAGAATGAGAAAGTGGCAGGACTGAAACCTGGACTCAGGCCACCACTCCCGTGGCACCTGCTCCAGCCCGTCTCCTATCGCAGGTAAGGCATGGGGCAGCCCGCCTCAAAGCCAGGGAAGACTGGCCAGGAGATGTGACACCCAGGAAAGGGACCACAGCTTGGGGTTCTGCCAACCAGATCCTGGCATTTAGGGGAGTGGAAAGAACTGCTTCAATGGGAGCGACTAGATTTGGAGGTGCCCGTCATCTTGGTAATGAAAATCACCCCAGGGCTGCCAATGGCCAAAATCATCATTTCCGTGGAATGACACCCCCTGCTGCCTAGAACAAGGCTCCCTGGAAACCTTCCCCACCCCCCGCCCCAGACCTGAGTGAGCCCAAGATGGAAGTTTGAGCTGGAGATGCAAGTGGACACCAGCACCTCTCAGCACCCAGGCTGACCACGGGGCGGAACACACCAAGTCCGGGTGGGACGAGCCCGCAGTTCACAGCTGTGGGCCTGCGGCCTCCCGCTCTGGGCCCTGCACACAGACCCCGGGACCGGGCATCAAGGAGCCTTGCCTGAGACCTACCAGGGGGTTGATGGGCTTGGGCGCATCCTGGGTCTTCACCGCACACAAGGAACACCGGGACAGGCAGTCTGCTGCGGCGGACGGGAGCGCCAGGAGGCAAGCAGCCAGCACCAGCCCCTGCCACGCCATTCCGCCTCTGCTCTTGCTCCTGCAGAGGGAGAAAGAGGAGACAATGAAATCTGCGAGGGCTACTCGCAAGGGTCCCCTTCCTGCCGGAAGCCCCTGGAGGCTCATGTCCTCACTCCCATCTGCTGTGGAGGAACGCAGACCCAGGGAGGCGCAGCGGGGCAGGGCAGGGCAGGGAATGCCTCAGTGCTCGTGTGTGAGCTCCCGTTCAGGCCGCACGGGCCTCCTCCGGTGGGTTGTGCTCCTCCACTGAGCGAGTGGGGAGGTCGCGGCTAGAGTGGGGACCGTTCACTCAGCAAAGCAGTGGATCAGCCGGGACTCGGGGCTGTCGCACTTCAGAACACGCTTTGCCCAACTGCCAAGCCAGGAGACTCTTGCCGTCTGCTTTTCTGAGCCTCTGAGTTCGTGGCCTGCCTTTGCTCCCTGCTCCCCAGGCAGTGCCCCCAGAGGGGACTTTCGGCTCAGGGAGGTCCCTGGAATTTGTCTTGTCCACTTCAGCGCTTTCACCTGCCCTGACCGTGGCTCCACCTTCAGCCATCTCCAGGCGTTCTCCCTGCCTCCAGCTCCTTCTCTGTCCCTCCTGCCTGAAGTGAAATGTCCCCAGCATGTCAATTCTGTGACTAGCTCCACCTCGTAAGGCACAGGGGTCCCATTAATCCCATCCTTATACCCCAACATTTCAGTTCTGGGTTTTAACCACATTAGCCACTTGCAATTCAAATTCCCTGAAGACCATCTCAGGCCCATCCCAGCTCTGGGCTTGCACGTGCCGTGCCCTCTGGGATCCCTTCTCCTTGTCCATTACTTGTCTTTTGGGTCCGAGACTGGACATTGCCTCCTCCAGGCACTGCTCCCTGAGCCAGGCTGGAAGAGACCCCCCTCCTTTGTGTTCTCCTAGAAACGTGCGTCTCCTCCACAAAATATTCCATGTTATGGTAATTAGCTGTGTGAGAGTTTAGACTTTGGCTCTAGGAAGGCAGGAACTGTGTCTCGTCTTCTTTGAAACACCCTGTGTAGGACTATGGTGATGGCACCTGGGTGACTCGGTGAGGGAAACCCATGGGGATTACAACTGAGATGAAAAAAGAACTGTACAAAGTGATGTAAAAATAAACTATTATATATTAAAAAAAAAAAGAATCTTATCAAAGGCAGAAAGAAAGAAAGAAAGAAAAGAAAAAGAAAAAGAGGCCCTCCCTGGTGGCGCAGCGGGTTAAAGCACAGCACTGAGAAGCTAAAGTCGCTTCCGCATGAGTTCGATTCCCGCCTGCCCCGGAAGGTGACCACATGGCGTGGCAGACCTCTCCTGACCCGCCCGCTGCTTCCCTCAGCAGTGTACTTCGTCGATCTGCCTGTTCTGCTCCCCACTCTGTCTCTGGTGAAGCCTCTCACTGCCCCTGAGCCTCTGGCCTGTACCCCAGTTCTGTATGTACAAATAAATAAATCTTTAAAAAAAAAAAAGAAAAGAAAAAGAAATACCCCGTGTCCCTCATACCAGCCCAGCTTGCTCCTACCTCAGCACCTTTGCACCTTCTGTTCCTCCTCTGCAGTTCTGATCCCAGATTTTCACCCTACAACTTCTTGTAGCTAAGTGAATTTCACCCCACAACTCCAGCCAGGTACTTGCGGACCCCCATATTTGACAGCTCCTGGTTTCTGTCGCGTCTCCTGCTTTGTTTGGGTCACCGCCTCGTGCCATTCTGTTCCTTTGAGGTACGTCGCTGCTTGTGACCGGCACCCCTCTACCTCCTTGGGGCACCGACGCTGAGTGTCACAGCTCCTCTGCGTCCTGGCACCGAGAACCCCCACCACCCGTGGCAGGTCGTTGAGATGTACGGGCAGATGAGTCGAGTCACCAAAGCAAGCGGTCTGTGCCAAGGGGCCCCTTTCACAGCAGACTCCTTGCGAGCCACATGTCCAGGCGCCACGCTGTTCAAATGGGGGCACAGAGTGGTTCCCCCAGCTGGAGATGGAGTCGCCTGGGACACTCCACCCCACACTCTTCCCGCCCGGTCTCTGGATCCCCACACTTGCAAGGCGGCTCGCAGAGAGGCTGCCGCCTTCCTTCCTGCGCCCCCCAACCCTGCAGCTGCCCTGTTTGCTCAGCCGTTCATGCTCTAGAAGATTCCATCCCGTGGCCCCAGGGCCCCTGCAGCCTGAGCTGTTCTGGTCTCCCTCCTCCAAGCACAGCGCTGGCCCCCACCAAAGCCTGCCCAGTAGTGACCCCAGCACCCTCTGTGCTTTGGGGCTTCACTTAGTCCCTAAGTCCCTCCTGTCTTTTATTCCTCCCCAGTGGGCTGGGCACTTCTAATTCAGCATCCCGTGCCCTACAGAGAAAAGTTGGGGTGCAAGACCTGCTTTGTTTCTTTCCGCATATTTGTGCTCTTTGTGACGACTTTTAGAATGTGATTCACTAACAGATGAACTCTCTGCAAGGCCAAGGCCCCATGCACTGTCCTTGTAGATTGTCCTCAGACCACCTCACTCTGGGAAAGGTGGCATCATAGTCCCCACTTCATAAACGAGAAAACTGGCGCCCAGATGTTACAGGGCACTCCAATTCTGTTACAGGACAAAATCTGTTCCCTTTTTCCTAGGGACCACCCTGTTACACAGAGAGGCTTAGTAAATCTCCTGCGGTTACACAGCAATTAAAGGTGAGAACTCGGGTCCATCTGCCTCTTGAGGATGGACATCTGTACCTCCAGAAAACTCAGGGAGTGGACCTGTGTCCACTACGTCCCTCCCCCCATCCTCAAGTCTCCCTCACGCTCCATCAGCTGCCAAGAGGATTTGGGTTCCAGGCGAGCGAACTGTGTCGCTTCTGTGCAGATACAACGCAAGAAGTTCCTGTTTTCTTGGATATAAAGCAAGACTAGGCTGACCTGCTGCAAGATTAGCAGTGAGCTCCCCTGCTGGGGAGCGGGAGCTCCTGTACCCCCTCTTAGTCCTGTATTTCCTTCTAATGTAACGGGAAGACTAAGGAAGTTTGCATCATCGGTGAGTGAGTGGTGTCCTGAGTGCGGAGAGCACACAGGGCTCCCCAGGTTCACTGAGTGGATAAACAGGCCCTCAGCCTGTTGAAGCTGAGTTATTCCGCATCAGCCTTCCCACCCCAGAGAAGCCTCAGGGTCCTCGGTTGTTAAAATCAACACCTGCTAAAGGGAGGAAAGCAGGAAGAGGGGCGGGGCCTGTGTGCTTTTCCTGTTCCTCCTTCCCCCATCCCCAAGCAGAGCAGAGAACCCCCTCCCCAGCAGGGGAGCTCTTCTGAAGGAGCAAGGGGTTCAGGAAGGATACCGGGAGGGTCAGACAGGGCTGGGCCCCTGGCTCCCTCCTTCCAGCCTTGAGCTCTCTCTTTCTCTCTCCCTGCACTTTGCAGACATCCAAAGGTTGCAAAGTGACCGCCTGCAGGCCAAACTCAGCAAACTGGCATAAAGTGTTTTAACTTACACAGGGGTTTTAAAAACTGTTTATGCCATCATTTTAAATGGGAAGACTTCTACATTAAAAACAATGTCTATTTTCAACTGGTCTTAAAAGATCAAAAGCCCTGGAAACAGCAGGTCTACATTCATATGCGACGGGCCAGAGTCTGTACCCCTAAACCACTCACTCAAACAAACCAAAGCAACTTGGGAAGAGATACTTCTGGTGACAAAGGAGAGGCGAGACCTCTAATTCCTCTCTCATCCAGAAGCAGGCTCACCAAATGGTTTGTAATGTAGATTCAAATCCCATCCCACCACCTGTCACCAGTTTGGGAAAATTCCTTAACTGCTGGGCCTCAGTTTTCTCAGATATAAAAAGGGTTTACTAACACTAGGAATTAAATAAAAGAGTATGGGGAAAGTACCTGGCATGGTACCTGACACATAGTAGGTGCGTAAGTAGGACTCTGAAAGTCCCATTCCAACCTCATTTCAGGAGATGGGAAAAGAAGAGGCGAGAGGAAGCCTATGAAAGGCCTGACGCCCAGGAAGACTCAAAGTGAATCGACAGTCATGTCGGGCGGGCCTCATGGTCCTCGCTTCTCAAGAGCAACTCGAAACCAAGCTGTATTGACCACTTCATGCAACTTCTTTTAATCCTTAAGGCAACCAGAGGTGAGAGTCCACATACCCGTTGTACAGAGGGCAAGACTGAGGCTGGGAGCGGGCCATTGCTGGCCCAAGCTCACTTGGCTTATAAATAGGAATGGCAGGCTCCCAGCCAGTAACTGATCAAAAACAAACAAACAAACAAACAAACAAAAAAAACACTTCAGCCCTGAGATTTTCCTAAATGATCCTGTTTCCTTCCCTTCATGATAAACAAATAATTGTGCTGATGGGGAAGGGATTGCAGGAGGAGGCATCACAAGATTGAGCCACTCAGAGGATGGGTAGAAGGGGCTAGTGTAGCAATTAACACAACTATAAAAAAAATCAAGATCCTCGACACAGCCATAAAATCAATGTTCTCAGGCACCAAAGCCTGGATGCCTGGATGTTGGCAGGCAGGTCCCAGCTGATAACAGACTGCTGGGGGCTGTGTCTGAAGCTCAGACCCAAATGGTAAAAGATAAGGACAGGGAGAGGAAGCTCACTAGGGAATCTCCAGTCCTCTCAGATCCTATTCAAAGTCAACAAACCCAGGCTCACAAGGAGTGAGCCCCTCCCAGGGAGAGAGAGGCTCCTCTATCAGGGCCGTCTCTCCACCGGGCAGCTGCTCCACTGCCCACCTGTGCCTATGCAGGTGCTTCTTCCCACCCGCTCTCTCCGCCTGCGGGGCAGCAGCCTCCTGCCTGCCGGTGACCATGCCGGGACTTCTCTGCACTGACCTCCCCCAGTGGAGGCTGCTCTCCTAAGGCCGCCTGCCTGCACCCATGCAGGCCTCTCCCTCTGCAAGCCTGTCCCTTTCGGGAGCTCTGGTGAAACTGTTCCCAGAATAAACCCGAGGGCCCTGAACTCTAAAAAATGACATCAGTGCCACGCCAGACCGGTCTGAGGGAGCTTCCACCTCTG